GGAGAAATAGATACGTAATGGGTTGAGGTCCAGTGCATCAATCATAGTAGTTTAAGTCCAGAAGTTGCCTCCACTCGACTGCCATAGCCCCCAACGCAAAGGTAAAATAAAAATGGATATGATCAATAGTGGGGGATCAATAGTGTTTTTTATTTAACACTAGACACAACACGAATACACGATGAACCAGATGTATGTATGGTTTTGAAGGCACAGAGATCAAAGATGGAATTGACCTAATTAAATACATACTGAGCTTATATACAGCATTATTAGGCAGAACATTTATTTTAAATATTATATATTTATACAATATAAAGCTTTTTTTCTTTTAAAAAAACAATTTTGCATCTGAGTTTTATTAGAGGACAAGTCAAATAAATTTATTGCTTTTCAATCAAGCATGAGGAATAGGAAAATAATCAAAATGGACTAGCTCCATAATACATGCATTTTCCTGTAAGTAACAGGAAAATAATCATAAATCAGTTGGCTTTCCCTATAAATTGGAATGAGATAGCTTCAAAATGCTTAAATAGTTTCCTGTATGGAGGAAGTACGGAGTCTTTCTATATACACACACGTATATAATATCAATTTGAGTAAGTTGGTCAATCGGGTAATTAATCACAATTTCCATGTTTATATATTGCTATATTAAGTCCTAGATAGCGGAGGTAGCTGATATCTTCCTAGAGGGTGGGTAAATAATTTACCCATGATGCCCCGATAACATTCTCTCCCTCCTGGAACCAAACTTGCCTTGGGAAAGAAAGTTTCACTTGGTAAACACTTAAACTCATTTACCTAAATAAGTGAAAACAAAAGGGTTCGTAAGACTGCATCTGGAAACGATGCAAATGGAGTATAAATTCTGGTTCAGGATAAATTTATACTCTGAAATTTACTTTCACTTTTGTCAGTGTTTGGCAACATTACATTTATGCATTGACAAATGACAGAAAATACATTTTTCAATGTTTATTTATATTGATAATAAGATGTAAAAGTACATCATTAAAAAAGAAGTAAATTTACATTCAAGTGGGCTTCTGATGAAAAAAGGCATATGTTTTATCAGAATTCACACTTTACATATTTACATTCACACTTATTTGCATTGTTTCCAAACGCAGCCTAAGTTGTAAACCATTGCCCGTTGGTTCAAGTCACAACTTTAAACGTTTTTATAATTTTCTCTTCTTGGATGAGCCCATTAGGCCCAATATGCAGCCCTTCTGTTATTTCTATTGGTACAAGTCCCGACCTCACAGTCATGGCTCTTCCGTGCTCGAGTTTATATTAAACCATCTGAAATTCGCAAGAGCAACGGGGGTTGTGATTTCCGTCGAATTGTGCTGTCTGCCTGTATCTTTCTGAGGTTTACAACACGACCCTAAAAGGAGCGAGTTTCTCCAAATCACCTTTCAAAATGGAATGAAGAATTGTTGGTTTCTACGTTTAATTATGGTTGATTTGTTGGACGATTCTTTTCTATAAGCCCCAACGTGTACCATTTATATTCTAGAAAACAATTGATGTGTCAGATCTTTTACTCGCTCTCTATTTGTCTGCAAATGTGGGAGAATATAATACTCTGTTCTAAATGGCAGACCTGTTTTAGGCCCAGTACTAGGTTTATGTTACAGGCTCAGAGCTGGCCCGAGCTTAGGCTATAACACTTATCATAGATGTCAACTCTGGCCCGGCCCATAATCACACATTTTGCTGGGGAAAATTTGTACCGATCATAAGTCATGTTGGAGTTAGAGACTAGAGAGGGTTTCATGATAAATAAACATGAAGACGACCTATATGGTTGAGGCTTCTTCTATAACCAGTCCAGAATGCAATAAAATTCACTGACCAACCTTTCGAATCCATGCTCCGAAAGCCATTTCTGTTTCGGTGTAGATTACACTGTCATAGCTCAGTGCATTTTGGGTTGGGTCAGGAGGAGCATATGCACCTCTGTCTTCTTGCTTATTTCACAATCAAAATTCTTCTAGGAATGCTAGTAAATAAAGTGTTTATGCAATGCAACTCTCTAGTCTTTTTAACATTTTTCAAACTCTTGATATGAATTGTTTCTGTTAATTTGTATTTTGTATTGGTTGTGGTACACCCACTATCCATGCCCATTAATTGAGGTTAGGTAAAGATTTAAAAAGCCAAATGCTATTAATAAAGCTCTGTTTTGAAGGAATATAAATACAAATGTGTATAGTGTAAAACCTTGTATTTTGTATTATTTTATATGCATTTGCGCCGTACATATTTGTATTTGTACTCTTTTCCAACTGAGCCTAAGGCCATGTTTGGGAGTGCTTAAGTTAAAAATAAGTGCTTATTCGAATAAGCACTTATTTGCATTTGACACATTTGGTAGTCTTTTTCTCCAATAATTATTTGTGACTATTTTGTCCTTCATTTTCTTTCAAATTTTCAAAATATACATTTATGAAAGCACTTTTACTAAATTACTTTTATAAAAACACTTTTGTGAAAGTATTTTTGTAAAAATACTTTTACGAAAGTAGTTTTATGAAATCACTTTTATAAAAGAACTTTTGTGAAAGTACTTTTATGAAAGCATTTTTATAAAATTACTTTTATGAAAGTACTTTTACGAAAGTACTTTTATGAAAACACTTTTCTAAAAGTCCTTTTGTGAAAGCACTTTTAGGAAAGCGCTTTTGTGAAAGTACGTTTATAAAATTCAACAATGCATAATTTTATAAGTGGTATTTTAAAATTCAACTAGGGTTAATTTTGGAAAAAAATTGAATAACTTAAAAAAAGCTGGAAATTTGGACTTAAAAAATAAGCCCTTATTTTTAAAATAAGCACTTATTTCGGGTTTATTTCCTAAATAGCAATAAGTGCTTAATAGCCCAAATAAGCACTTTTTTTAAGCACTCCCAAGCATGGCCTAAGTTTCAAATCCAAGTATGTCTTAATGCTTCAAATAATATAAAATTTATTTAAATTTTTAAAAAATTTAGGGATACTTTAAGGCTATGTTTGGTTTGAAGGAAAAGGTAGGGAAAGGAAGGGAAAGGTAAGGACCTTGTAAAGGTTTCCCTACCTTTCCCTGCATTTTCCTTCAAACCAAACATGGCCTAAGGGAATTTACAAGAAGTAGGGGTAGGGCTACTCAATTTCTTAAAACTCAGGGTAGTGTAAGTTTTTTGTCCAAAATATGTGTTTGTGTGCATGTGTGGTTCTGTAATGTATTTCTTGTTTTATAAAGTTGAAACTAAAGAGTACAAATACAAATATATAGACTGCAAAATCTTGTATTTTGTATTATTTCTATCTATTTGTAATGTATATATTTGTAATTGTACTCTTTCCAAATTCCAAATGGAGCATAAAGAGTAAAAAAATCTTATAACTCCTAGTTTTAAAAACACGCTTTACCCCTCGTGGTCTAATGTTATGTGTAATGAAGCATAAAATTTTTAGTTATTTGCATGGAGATTTTGACCATGGATGTTAGCTTAATTTGCTTATTTTTATTTTTAGATGCAAATTAATTTAAATGTGGATTGGTAATTGGTATGTTAGCTGATTTGTTCCAGCGTTGACCCAGAATCAAATCCCTCAACCAGCATTTGGGGGAAAATGATGCATAGCACCAAATACCCATTCCGACGCTAGGATTACAGTTTAGTCAATAAATAAGAATGGGATCGATAATTGGAAATGAGTAGACCTTGTATGTTATTAAACTAGATACACACAATACATTTGCCAATACAATAGAAGATGACAGTGTATGAAAATCTAAAATAAATAGGACCTGAGACTTTGTTTTGTTAAGCTTTCACAGTGATAGAGAAAACAGTAAACTTGAATTTGCACTTTGGCAGCTGTTTCCCTTTTGTTGACTTAATTCCTCTCTGAGAATTCACGTTTACCTCTTTGAGTCTTGACTAGAAATTTCTCTTCTCCTCAGACGTTTTCTGCCGCATAAAGTGCGCATAGACCTTGGGAATTCCATTATTTTATTCTGGCCTAGCCTAGGACAAATCACAAATGCTTCAACAAAGGAAAAACTAGAAAGAATTGTCAAACAATATAACACCATCATATAGACTCCTTTACTTCTAGATTTGCACAAGTTCTTCGAACATCTTCATGGCAGAAGCTGGTAGACCCAGAAGAACATTTATGCTTTTCCTCTCTTTCCCATGAGATAGGAACAAGATCACTTCCTTCTCAGGCAGTGCAACAGGCCCTGATAGAAGAGGCTCTCCCCATCCAAAATCTGTAGTGTGGAAAGATAACCTAGACCAAGTAGTTATAAGAAGCGTTGCAGCCAGAGAAGGCCTCTCTCTTGTTACTTCGAAATAATCTATGGCTGATCTCATGTACCCATCTGTAACCATCTTAACAGCCTTCTGAACTAACTCAACTGTAAACGACAGCGGGTTCTCCAGCAGCTCACCTGCACTGCACAGAGAATTTGTTAATACAATCCCATTTCCAAAGTAGCCTTTTGGCAGTGGTGGATCAAATCTGGAGCGCCCATCAACAGCGAAGAGGAGCTTCGTCTTTTGATCTGGCTCCATCCTTAATGATTGAGTTCGAGCTCTCCACACAAATGCAGAGAGGGCTTCGAAAGTAGTGCACTTCTCGAGAACCCCATCCTGCATCGCTTTCATCTTGATTTGTTGGAGCTTCTCAGGATCAAAGCAGAAGGACCTGTAGAGCATTTTCTCTTCGTAAAGCTTGGAAGTGTTGGATATGTCTTCTATCTCTGCGAATTCATGGTGGAAAAAATCTATCTTTGGTGGATTTCGGCTTTTGAGTATACTTCTATCTAAAAATGGTGGAACTTTTAGTGGCAAGCCTCTGGCAGTTTCACCCCATGCGTTTATAAACTCCATAGCACCAAGCCCATCAAACATACAGTGGTTAATGCCCAAGCCAAGAACAAATCCTCCACACTTGAAGGTGGTTACCTGGAACATATATGTGGAAAACAGATGTCTCTTAATTAGAAAAGGATGTTCAAGGAAAGGTCTGAATTATAATTCCTCTGGATTAATCTGATAATGAAAGCATTTTACTCCGGTATATAAAACATATATCCATTTTAGAACAAAAGCTTAATTTGTTTTCAGGACCTCCAAAAGGATGTAAAATCTGACAAGAATTAGCAATGCTAATCTGTCTAACAGAAGAAAGAAGAGTGAAGAAAGAAATTCCTAATAACATCTCCTGTGATGATGACCTCAAATTTGAACGAAACATCTAGTCAAGAAACAGAGGAGAATATACCAGGGAATGATTTGTTTCTTATAAATTCTAGATTTATCTAATATCACAGTATTTTTTTGTTTTCTCCTTAAAAATTAAAGTTGTATAGGGTTACAAATTAAAGAAAATGGCCGAGAAAGAATCCAGAAGAAATGTGACGAGGTTAAGCCCTGTTTGCATGGTTAGGTATGTGTACTTCGTAAATTTTGCTCCGGAAAGCATGTTTTACCTTCATCATATACATGAATTAGATTGGTAAAGAAAGCTTGAATAAAATTTCAATGCTGCAATAAAGGGATGCTCTGAGATGACGAACCTGAGCGACCAGTGGAGGTATCTCTAGTATGTTTTTTGCACCTGGAATGTCATAAACCAACTTTCCAAGAGTCACCGGGTCAGGTTTTGTTGTGTCCCCAATATCTTCCAGCGTGCAGTTTGCCTCCGCCTCGACAAAAATAGCACCATCCCCTGTGCAATCCACAATCAGCTTTCCCTCTGAGCTAATCGTGAGCCGCCCGGCAAGTGGATAGTAATGGACGAGAACTTTTGCCAAGGCCTCCTTAATGATGTTTGCGGCTCTCTCATTCCCCATCTCCTCCGACTTGAAGCAGTAAATGGTTCGAACAATCACTGCAATGTTTTGGTCAAGGTTCGAGAGAAAGTAGAGGCCCTTCTGTGTTTCCTCCACGGGAGGAACAAGAGTTGGTTCCCCTTGCTTTACATTAAGCTCAAAGGCTTTCCCGTTGGATTCGGCCATTGCAAAAGACTATTCAAGCTCTCTGGTAAACCTGGCAATCGAGAAAAGCAGCAATGTAGAAAGAATTATCAAAAATGCAAGTATACCAACGCATTCAAACGTACGCTGTAACAGAAGCAGATTAACGAGCTGAGAGTTGATGCATGGAAAAGTGAACAAATTTAGTAATAACGGTTCCACTGAAGTAGAAGTACCTGCAGTGCCAGTTAAAGAAGCTGGGATAGCTCTGGTTCTTCATGTAAAGGCCAGAGGGAATTATAAGGACTTTCTTCTTCTTTTTTTTAATATTCTTTCTTATGGTGGTGGAGACTGGAGAGAGCGCGGGGGACGAAGAGAGAGAAGTCTAAAACTCAGTCAACCTGATTGGGAATGACCAATGAGAGAAAGTGAAGGGGCAGGTGTTCGAACCTGATTGGTAACAAGAGTGGGGTATCTCCTCATTTTAATTTCTAGCATTTCATCATGTGGGTTGGGGTTGGTTACTTGCCGTGTAACCAAACATATCACCTATCAGAGTTGTATGAGGGAGAGGGAGAGAATGTGGGGTTTGGTTGGTGTGGTTGGCATCCCAAATCTTGGTTAGAGTTGGAGACGATAAATATTAAACTATAAATCTGATGCAATCCACAATGCGAGAGCGTGGCAGTTGGTGCTATATACCTATACGGCGTAGTTATGCAGCTCACCTAATTATAATGTTTGTTGGCAATGGCAATGGCAATGGTATAGGCGTATAGCTGCCGTTTATTTATATTGTTTGTTAATTTGCCTCAAATTCGATCAGAAATTCAACGCCATAAGGCTCACAGCATTAGCGTTTTAAGTTTTCGAATTGCTTCAAAGTTAAATTTCAATCGCGTGTAGGTCAAGAAGGTTTTTAATTAATTAGGGATGATCATGTCCAGGCTGGGTTTCCACAGAGGGGTTAATTTTGGCTGTTGGTGCTGCACGTTATAGGCAGTTCATCTATTCACGCCCATGCTTTAGTTTTTAGTTAAATTAAATTAATATGTAATTACTAATTTACCTATTATCGTGGTAATGTGACATTTCCAGAAATCCTCTCAATAGTATAGGCTGTTGGCCCCCAACAGCTAAAGTTTTTCCTTCACAGGGTATATATAACAGTATTTCAGGCTGTTCATGTCTGGCCTGCCCTTGTTTTGCAATTCGGGTCAGGTAATCACAATGTTGTAAATATGTTAAATGAATACTTAGAAACAGACCTGTTCACGGGCTGGGTTTTGGGCCCAATTTTACACTGTCTTGGGCTTGGGCTTCAGGCCAGGCCCATTAGAATTTTGACAAAAGCTAAGCCCTAGCCCTGCCCATGAACAGATCTACTTAGAAATACCCTCAGTCTATCTTTAAAAAAGATTAATACCCACTTTTGACAGTTGTCAAAATATTTACCAAATTTTCATTTAACGTGCTTACTTTGTTGTATTTACTAGATCTGGTCTCTCTTTTTCAGCCAGATATATAATATGTTTAGGCATAGGCTTACGTCAAGTTAATAAAAAATAAGTGTCCCTAAAAATTGATCCAAAACTGAAATTGTTCATCCAAATTAAAATGGGTAGAACTATGATGTAGTTAAATAATAAAATTTTTTAAACTATAAATAAATACATAAAATAAAATATAGAAAAAAAATGGTCATATAACTGATATTATATTAATCATATTAAAGAAGAACAAATATGACAAACAAGATTTTTTTTGACAATGGAAATAAAATACAAAATTTAAAATTGACAAAAAAATAAAATTGTTATCCTATGTGATATACGGTGGATCTTAAGTCAAATGTATCAAATTTTTTGTCATAATTAAACAGTAAAAATTAAAAAAGATAAAAAGACACAAAAAAATTGGAAATATACATAAAATTTGCAAAAGTTATTTAAGTGCATCTCTAATAGTCAATATTCATCGTCATATTAAACAAAAATAAGTGTGATACATAAGAATTGTTTTTATACACAAAAAATTAAGTCTTATATTTAAGGTCTTAACTCACATTCAACACTAACCTTATTCAATAAGTGTATCTCATGTTTTTTGATTTAGTCTCTCTTTACCTTATTCAATTTCACTTCATTAAGTCTTATGTTTAAGGTCTTAATTCACATTCAACACTGACCACTAGCATGGAACCTTTTACCGGGTCAAGTTTGGCTAAAACTAAGGGGATGTTCAAGAAGGTGAATGTTCTTGTTTTTCGCTTGTTTTCAAAATTGCCACGAGAGATAAAACAGAAATACCTTCTCTAACTTTGATTTTGTTTTAAGAATTGAAAATAAGATGGGTTTTCTTTCCAAATCCCTAAAAAATATGTTTTTTAAAACAAATAAATTCTTTCTTTGGATAACAAAAAACACGTATACAACCAAGGACCCGTTTCTGTGTTTTTTGTTTTGAGAGCATTCTCCACTGTGAATTGCTAGTTTGTTGCAGTTATAAAAACAATTAGAACCATATGATTTGAAAACAAATCATCTCTCAAAACAAAAAAACATGTTATTGGTGGTGTAATGCTTTTCGCTTTCAAATGTTTAAAGAGTAGAAATTTGTTTTTTGTTTTAGAAAATGTAATTATGGTGGTTCCAAAAACATAATTTGCTTTTGCAAACAAAACCATATTGTTTTCAATTCTTAAATAAAATTGAAGATGGACAAGGTATTTTTGTTTTATTGTTGATGTTGCAATGTTGAAAAACAACTGAAAACAAAAACATTCACCTTCTCCAACATAAGTTGGGATCCGTTGACCATGACACATTGCTGGCCATAGGCATCCAGCTATACATTGGGAATATCGGTATTTTAAAGTATAACTAATGTTCCTAATGTGCGGCAAGATGCACATAACCAACAATGTGTGTCATGATCAATAGATCCTAACTCCTCCAACACCCCCTTAGTTTTAGTCAAACCTGATCTAGTAAAGGGTTTCGTGTTTTCTTTTTTCTTTTTTTTTTTTTGAAGGCTTAAAGCACATTTCATTCATTCAAAAAATTGATACAAGTACAAAGAATTGCCAACAAGGCCACTCAAAACCCATATACAATTTCTCAAGAAGAACAAAATATATAAATGGATGAAGGAAAACATAATAAATTTCTGCAATCAAACAAAGATGAATTTAAAATCATCAACAGAAATAGATAAGCACAACTCCAATCCACCACAAACGACGAGAGAAATGACAGTAGAGGTTCAAAGAGCTGATAAACTTTAGTTAACTTAGTTTAATTAACTTTAGTTCCCAAAAGAGACTCAAACCATACTAAAGGGTTCCGTGATAGTTTAATTGACTTAAATACTAATTAATTGTATTCAGATAACTTTAGTAAAACTAAGATACTTACTGAAGAAGAAATCCACATATCCATTGCTCAAGAAGTAAAAGAAGAAAATTCCCATATATATTAATTATTTATTTAAATTCATAGATAAAATATTTAATTTGGATAATTAACTAATATTAGTTATAATCACTTTTAATTATTAATAAAAATTAACAGAAATTATTAACAAAGTTACATTTAACAGAAAATTCTGTTAATTATAATTAGCAGTAATTACTATCAATCACTGTTAACAGAAATTATAAAATATTGTTTGAAAATGATGGCCGTGATTCTTCTTGGCCATTTGCGCGTTGTAAAAATCCATTTTTTTTGTCGTGTATTGACCATCTAGAATCTGGAAAGACGTTCCGATCCCCCAAATATGGGTCTTAATAGACTAATAGTAACGTGTTTTGACTTTTGAGGATATTCCCACTAAACAGATAAACTAATTCCCTGGGCCGATTTGCAAGGGAAAGGGAATTGGTCCCTTTGCAAATAGCAAACCAACTATTAGTTCAACAAGAATTCCTAACCTTGGACATTACACTGCTAATTGACTCGAAATGGTTAACCAATGAATCTGTCCGCCACCCACTCCTCGAATAACAAAACAATCCACAAATGACCACAATTGATGGTTATCCCCAGAGTAAGCCTCTCATATATGAAAAAAAAAAAAATCCCTACTAGAAATGAGGGCTGTTAGAACCTAAAACTTAGAAGATACCTAAATCGTTCATCAGTTAGGTCGAAGGACACAATCACTTTTATTTAACTTTTTTCTTGTTACTATTTGGACACCTGATTGAACCTGAGGCTCAGATTGAAAAGAGCATAAATGCAAATATTTACAATGCAAATGCATACAAAATAATAAAAAATATAAGGTTTTGTAATCTATATATTTGCATTTATACTCCTTCCAAATTGAGCCTGAAGAATATTTTGGCAACATTTGTATCTTAATCTCTATTTAACTATTTTTGCCGATATGGCATCAGGGGTGATCCGGTTGGGATTTGATTAAATTTCAATGGATCTGCTAGGTGCATTGTATAATCTTGAAATCACATGCCCTCGGATTTGGTCCTCATAAAATTTTCTCTATATCGTCCTCACAGTCTTTTGCAGCCATGCATTGAAAATGTATCTTTATTTGTATGTTTTTTTTATTCATGGTGAGATATTCTCAATGCATTGATGCAAAGGGATGTGAGGACGGTCTTGTGAGGACCAAATCCAATTTCAACTTACAGCCCTATGTGATAATAGTTTTTATTTTAGAAAACAAAATCATACACACTTTGGATTAGGCCCATTTAAATTTTGACAAAGGTCCACCCTGAGCCCGCCCAAATTGCACCCAACATGTCAAGAATCAAGAACCTTGTTGATAGCCAGCCCAAGTTATTGAATTTAACTAGTTAAAATTTTCTCCACGTTGTCCAACACCCCCTTGATGGTTATGTCGAGAACCCCAACTATTCGGCCTAGGCCTTTATATTTAAAATAAAAGTCATCAATGATTGATAACCAAAAACCAACCAATGTTGTAAAAGCCATCGATGACCACGTTTATTATTTAGCTATCCTTTCCATTAATTCAAATATGCTTCAATCAATCGCATTGGCTCAGGAGTATAAATACAAAGGAGCAAAAATCAACATATGAATATTTTAGTCATTTTACTCCTTTTATCATTGGGTTCTATTAAACGCGTGTAAATGCCACTGCATCAGAAACATTAGGGGAATTGACTGCTATTAACAAACTCCAGGGTATGTTTCAACATATAATTGTCAAAAAGTTTAGGGGAGGTTTCAATAA